GGTGTTGTTCCGTAAGTTGGAGTGTGAGCCTTTCACATTTCCAGAATACCGTTTTGGTTCCCTGATGCCTTGGGCATGTCTTAATCATGGTGCTGTGCTTAATAAATGTCTCTGTTTGATTTGAAGCCTCATCTACTGTATTGAATCAACAGAGCCCTGCATTTGTGCCTGCATGTGTTGGAGATGCTGTTAAAGCATCTGTCCAAATTAGCGCACTGAGCTTCATTTCCTTCCGTAGGGGAATCCTGTAATTTTTCTTACTATAGAGTTCTTCTAAAGGCCCTAATTGTTTATTTTCCCTGTTGTGAATGAGTCCCTTGGAGCTGTTAACAAATGACTCATAATAAGTTAGACTGGATGATCTCTACAGTTCCCTCGCAGTTCCAACATTCTATGATCGTGTAAGTGGAACATTAATTTCCCTAGTTTCTTTTTTTAAAGATTTATTTATTTATTTATTTGAAAGTCAGAGTTACACAGAGAGAGAAGGAGAGGCTGAGAGAGAAAGAAGGAGAGAGGGAGAGAGAGAGAGAGAGAGAGGGAGAGGGAGAGGGAGAGAGAGAGGGAGAGGGAGAGGGAGAGAGAGAGAGAGAGAAGGAGAGAGGTCTTCCATTCGCTGGTTCACTCTTCAATTGGCTGCAACAGCTGGAGCTGCGCAGATCCAAAGCCAGGAGCCAGGAGCTTCCTCTGGGTATCCCACGTGGGTGCAGGGGCCCAAGGACTCGGGCCATCCTCCACTGCTTTCCCAGGCCACAGCAGAGAGCTGGATCAGAAGTGGAGCAGCCAGGACTCGAACCCGTGCCCATATGGGATGCCAGCACTACAGGCAGCAGCCCCACCTGTTATGCCACAGTGCCGGCCCATAGAGCTAGAGAACTAAAATGTCTTGGACAGATATGGAGAATATAAAGTGGATTTTGGTGGACAGTCACACACTCCAGCATGCTAAATACAAGGTGCCCTGGGAAGGGTGTTTGGGTACAAGGAATTACTCACATGCTTGTGGTGCTAAGACTTGGGTGGTGTTTGGAAAGATGTTACGGAACCAGTTTATCTTTTTCTATGTTTGAAGCAGGGAAAAAAGATGTGTATTGGGATAAGAGGCTTAAGGAAGTTCTGGAAAAGTAGGATGAGCCAAAAAAGGAAAAGAGAGCACAAAACAAAGACATGTGAGAGGTGAAGTTACAGATTTATGTAATGGACATTGGCGACTAAATCCGCAAGAAGATTTTCTTGGTTAGGGTAATTTTAAACTTAAAAGAAACCTCTCTGATTATTTGCAAAACCCCCACAGTGAGCTTGCTGCCAATAAGCCCACCCGAAGCTGTAAGCCTATCGTTTGGGGTCTGAGGAGGACAAGACTTGCTGACAGGGAAGGATACATGTTTAGAGGAAGGCATCATTGTTTCATAATTTTACCATTTTCTATTTTTATGAAACATATGCTGACCTAGGTTACTTTGGTTTTTGTTCTTGTCTCACACACACACACACACACACACACACAATCTACCCTCGTTTCAGACAACCTCATTTTTACAGGATCTTTCACTCCAAAGAGAATGAATAATGAAAGTGCAAATTCACACTTAGAGGACCTCTAAATGCAGCTAAATAGAGACGATGTTATTAAAATGACTCTTCTGTAGCCCATCTCTACCTGCGTTTGTTGGGATTCTGTATCTCCTGCATCTCCAGCCACATATCCAATTCTGTCCTTCAGGGTTTGTCTTTAGTCCTGCTTATTTCTCTCAGAAACTTCCTTAGATGACCATTCGTCCATTCTGCTTCATCCTTTGCATAAGGTCCACTTGATAGGTGTTCCCATTTAAAATGATTTCTTGTCCACTAAGGCGCTACACACTTTTATTAATTTATGTTTGTGTGCTGTAATTATTTACCTTTTACCTAGGTCTGTACTCTTTTCAAGGTGAAACACTAGAGTTATTTGTATTAAAGTCAGGATGGCTGCTCACATTTATAGTTAACATTGTTTTAGAAATTGAAGACTTCTAAACAGCAGTGTAAGTATAATTATTTCAAATAATAAAACAAATTTATGATGGTGCTGGAAATTGTACATTCAAGAAAATCAACTCAAACTTGTGATATAGAGTGTGAGAGGTTTTGTAACATGTTTAGAAAGAAGTAGGAAGATAAATTGGGGCACAAAAATATCCCCCATTAATTAGAAGTGGAGTCTGAATCAGAACCTATGACGTCAACATCCGTGAAGATGCTCTGGCGGCTGCATACTAGAAATTCGGCTTAGCAAAATAGTGAGATGTGGAAGTCCAGGGAATAAAAAATCTCAAGGAGAGAAGTGTGTGTTTGACATAGAGGTTAAGATGCCTTTGTTCTACATCAGAGTGCCTGGATTGGACTCCCGCCTCTGACTCCCTATTCCAGCTTTGTGTTAATGCAGACCCTGGGAGGCAGCAGGAGGGGCTCAAGTAATTGAGTTCCTACCACCCATTTTGGAGACTTGGATCGCATTCTCAGTTTCAGCCTGGTGGAACATTGGCCATTGCAGCCATTTGAATAGTGAACCAGCAAATGAGAGAACGCATTCTGTATCTGTATCTGTATAAATATATGTATAATCCTCCTCATCATCTATCTCTGTATCTCTATGCCTCTCAAGTAAATAGGAAACAGTAATAAAGAAACAGAACCAAAGAGTGTGAGACTTGAGCCTGGAAGGACAGTGGTCCAGCTGACATAAATAGGGATGTCAGGAGGTAGACCTTGCTGCACTTCCTTGGTGATGAAATTTGGCTCTCAGTGCAGGGTAGGCAGGTAGAGAAAAGATTTTTCTGTATCTGTGGAAAACTATTTTATAAGGTGAAGCAGGCTTAAAAATCTACAAACGGGGCTGGTGCCACGGCAAACTAGGCTAATCCTCCACCCGCAGCACCGGCACACCGGGTTCTAGTCCCGGTTGGGGCACCGGTTCTGTCCTGGTTGTTCCTCTTCCAGTCCAGCTCTCTGCTGTGGCCCGGGGAAGGCAGTGGAGGATGGCACTGGGAGACCAGGAGGAAACACCTGGCTCCTGGCTTCAGCTCGGCATAGCGCACCGGCTGTGGCGGCCATTTGGAGGGTGAACCAACGGAAGGAAGACCTTTCTCTGTCTCTCTCTTTGTCTAACTCTGACTGTTAAAAAAAAATCTACAAATGGAGGGATGGGGGATAGATTCTTGAGATGCCAGAGAGCAAACCTATGAAGGCAGTGGCAGGCCAGTGCAGAAAAAACCTGTAGGAATGATTGGCAGTTGTGCAAGAAGTAAAGCCTGGGAAAGAACCAGAGTGAGAAATGAACGAGGAACATTACTGTGCATATGTAATATTTCACAAAACAGTTTTGTATAATTTCTGGGCACAAAGAAATCTTATGGCAATTTGTACTCTCGTAAATAAAGATACTGCTATTAAGATATGCTGTTGGATCATTAGCAGAAATGAATCACGACCATAGCCCAAGAAACAGGGTGAGAATGCGTTGAAAGTGACAGGCAGAACGTGATTCTCTAACAGCAAACAGACAAGAACTGCAATGCTCTGAACACATGCAAGACCTTTTCCTGTCTTTACTGTAAAGTCGCTGCCAAATTACTCAAACTCCCCTAAGGGAGAAAAAAAGGTTCAAATCATCCTTAACAAGCAAAGAGGAGGAGTGTTGAGAAAAGAGAATAACCAGGGAGCATTTAGAAAGAAGCTTTGAGGAGTAGTTATGTGAGGTATCCTTAAGGACTATGTGTTAGACTGTGTTTAAGACCCAGTAAGGAACCTTGAGAGACCTTTGGGCACTTCAAGGACTCAGCACACAGAAAAGTCCCCTGGACTGTAGGAATCTGGTGAAACTATTGTCAGCGACTACACACCTGTCACGTCTGTCGCTGGTTCTTGCTGGGCTGTCACAGGACTCAAAGTCTTGCACAAAATGTCTTCATGACCTTTGGGTGGCGTTTGGCCCTATCTGTGGAGTTACACTGAGCCCTTCAATAAGGGGAGACACACCAATGGCAGCAGACATCTGTGGACTCCCTTTGGTGCTTGCATCAGGAGCATGTGTTCTGGCTACAAAAACTTCTGGAATCTTCCAAAATTCAGCATTGAAGAAGGTCAGGCTTTGTAGATAATTTCAAATGCCTATGAATCCAATTATTCATGATAAATCCAAACGTACAACAAAGTGGAATGGTGCTTAGCAGTTTGAAAATTAAATTAGACAAGAAAGGAGAAAAATTAAAATTGAGATAAAGAAAATACAAGTGTAGTAAAAAATGGATTTTCTCCAGATTTCAGTGTCCATCATAAATATTTTAAGAAAGTGATGCTAATTTCCAGAGAAAACAGTAAACTCAAGAAGGAAGAATAGAGTTAGACAGTGAGAGAGAGAGAGAGCCAGAGAGAAAAGTCTTCCTTTTTCCATTGGAAAAAGCCTGCAGTTATTCTCCTCTTATTTAAAAGAAATTTCATTCTTACATACAAGTTGCAAAGATTAGGGTAAAGAATTCTCATAGCTCTTCACCCAGATTCACCAAATATAAGAATGAAATCCTGACATTTGTACCGATATAGAAGGATTGTTTTGCTAAGTGAAATAAGCCATACCTAGTAAGACAAATATCACATTTTTGCTTAATTGTGTAAGTTAATATATAAAGAATATAAAAATTATGTAGATATCATAGTATTTGGTATATAGTTATAAATATCACTTCTCTGAATTATACTGTATACATAACAATATACCCTTCTTTCCCCATGTTACGATTGTTGTCATGAATCCCGCATCTTTGATACCAATATCCCTGCTTTCAAAAAACTTATGTGTACATATACAGTATTTGTATATGACACAAATGTAGCAAAATATGAAAATTTTAAAAAGGCATTTATAAAAACATTCCCCCAAATATCACAATTTATCATATTTGTTTTATCACACATTCTTCTCTTCCTTTCCCTTGGCGCATTTCTATTTTTTTCTTTTTCAGAAAAAAATCGCCTTTGATCTCTGGATACTGAAGATGACTGACACCCTGAACCTGAAGATACCGAGAGCTGTGATAGAAGTCATTGCAGGGTGAATATGAAGGAGGAGAGCAGTGTCCTGGGGACCATGTGAGTGCAGAGAGGCTGGGAAGGAGCACAGCCTTGCCCACATTGACTTTGTGTGCTGCTTCTCTGGTTGAAACAGTTACCCTTTGTAGCAGCTGAACCTCCCCACAGTCCCAGCTGTGACAGGGGAGGGTACCCACCTCTCCAGCTAGATCGTCAAAGGCGTGCTGGGGATCAGATGCTGTAGCAGGCCCACCTACACACGTACCTAGATGGCTGTCCTTCCCACAGTTCTGGACCTTTCATTCATTCGCTCATTCAACAAGTATTTATAAAGGGCTTCACATATCAGTGTTTTACACAGTGGAAATTCAGCAATGAAGAAAACAAGTCTCTTTCATGACACATACAGGCAGGGGGGTGACGGAGCGGAGGAGAAAATAAACAAGTAAATGTGCATCCTGAGATGATAGGGCTCTGAGGAACAGGACAGATTTCGGTAGTTATCGTAGATTAGGAGGTCAGGAAAGGCATCTTGGAGGAAGTGACATTTGAGCAGAGACCTAAGGAAATGGGCAAATGAGCCATGTGACATCAGCCTGAGAGAATTTCCACAAAGAGCAAAGGCGTTGGACTGGGGGCATATTCAGTGGGTTTAGGCTATAGTAAGAAGACTTCTGTTAAACCGGACCTATACCTAAGCAAACGCTAAAATAATAGAACAAAGAATCACACTTACTAAGCCAACAGAGGAGATTAAATGGAGCATTAAAAATATTGAATTGAGGCAGGCGCTGCGGCTCACTTGGGTAATCCTCCGCCTGCGGCGCTGGCACCCCGGGTTCTAGTCCCAGTTGGGGCGCTGGTTCTGTCCTGGTTGCTCCTCTTCCAGTCCAGCTCTCTGCTGTGGCCCCAGAGGGCAGTGGGGGATGGGGCAAGTGTTTGGGCCCTGCACCTGTATGGAAGTCTAGGGGGGAAGTGCCTGGCTCCTGGCTTCAGATCAGTGCAGCGCGCCGGCCGAAGCAGCCATTTGTGGGGTGAACCAACAGAAGGAAGACCTTTCTCTCTGTCTCTCTCTCTCACTGTCTAACTCTGCCTGTCAAAAAAAAAAAAATACTGAATTGCAAAGTAGGCAGAATAAGAGGAAAGGGGAACTAAAGAAAAAGTGGTAAGGTAGATGTTATGGCACAGGGAGTTAAGCTGCCTCTAGGGATGCCTGCATACTATTATCGGAGAGATAGATTTGAGTCCTGGTCACTCTAATTCTGATCCTGCCTCCTGTTAATGCATCCTGGGAGACAGCAGATGACAGCTCAAGTGCTTGGGTCCCTATTACCCTTGTGGGAGATCTGGTTGGAATTTTAGGCTCCTGACTTTGGTCTAGCCTATTCCTGGTTGTTATGGGCACTGAGTGAACAAGTGGATAGAAGATTCTCTCTCTCTCTCTCTCTCTACCTTTCAAGTAAATGAAAATAAAATATTTTTTAAAAAGGACAAATGACAGAAATAGAAAACAAATAGCATGATGATATCTCAAACACAACCATATCAATAGCAACATTTAATATAAAAGATCTAAACAACCAATTAAAAGGTAGGGATAATTAGTTTGGACAAGATCAACTAAGACTGCTTACAAGAAACACAATAAATATAAAGATACAAATAAATAAAAATAAAAACATAGGAAAAGATGTAGTCTGCAAACCCTAATTTTAAAAAGCTGGAGTGGCCATACTCATATCAAGTAAAGTAGATTCCATAGCAAAGATTATTTTGAGGAATGAATAGATCATTTTGTGAAAAATTAAAGATATTTCATGAGAGGATATATCAATCCTAAATTTGTAGACCCCTAATAACAGAGCTTCAAATACATGAAGCAAGAGTGATGGAACTGCAAGAAGAAATGGAAATCCGCAGTTAAATCAGGTATCTCAATAACTCTCAATAATTATTAGCATAAGCAGATAGGAAATCAAGAATATACTAGAACTGACCACTGTCAACAGACTGGACTTCAATGACATTTATAGAATTCTCTGTGAAGAAACAACTGAATACACGTTATTCTCAAGTGTGCTCAGAATATTTACCAAAACTGAATATATGCCTGACTCCGTCCAGACAGTGGCATTCAGCCATCAGCATGCACCTTCCCCACACTAGCTCACCTACCTTCTGATACCTTCTTTTCTTTTTAGTTTCATAGGCAAAAAAAATTCAATCACAAACTTGTTATTGCACTAAAAAAATTCCATAGTCCAGACCAAGACTACAGTTTGGTCCATCCACCTTATTCTCTTGGTCCACAGGTTTGCTTAGCCTAAACTCATTCTGCTTCTCTACTCTAGGGTGTTCTGTGGACTAAAATCATTAATTCCCTCTAGGTACAAGTTTGAGTTTTCATCATATTGTTATACATTAGGAATTCTCTGAGTTAATTACTATGAGGTTCCAATGGACATCATCCATTTGCTATTATAAAATAATCACATTTAAGGCCGGCACTGCAGCTCAATAGGCTAATCTTCTGCCTGCGGTGCAGGCACCCCAGGTTCTAGTCCCGGTCGGGGCGCCGAATTCTGTCCCGGTTGCTCCTCTTCCAGGCCAGCTCTCTGCTGTGGCCAGGGAGTGCAGTGGAGGATGGCCCAAGTGCTAGGGCCCTGCACCTGCATGGGAGATTAGGAGAAACACCTGGCTCCTGGCTTCGGATCAGCGCAGTGTGCCGGCCGCATGCAGCACGCTGGCCGCAGCGGCCACTGTGGGGTGAACCAAAGGAAAAAGGAAAACCTTTCTCTCTGTCTCTCTCTCTCACTGTCTAACTCTGACTGTCAAAAAATATATATAATCACATTTAACGTCATCAAATTAATGAGAATATCCAGAATAGGGTTGCCAGATTTATGCAAATAAAAAAATCCAGGACAGACATTTAGTTAAATTTTAATTTCATATTAAAGATAATTATTTTAGTGTAAGTATGTCCGATATACTACATGGAGCACCTGTATTTTATATCACCTGGAAACAGTAGGTAAGAACTACACAGTAAATTCTATAGTGAAGGATTAGAAAGACATGGTGCTTATTTGTGATGGGCAAGTAAATAAGATCCAAAGCAAAACCAAAAGGGCAGCAAGTGGAATGATAAGAAGCACAGAATCAGTGCAACCAACACCTGACACAGGAATAACCTCTGTGAGTTTACCCAAGAGATGGCTGTTTGGCCCAGCATGAACACTGGTCCAATTAGAGTGCAGTTCTTGAAGCCCACAAGCTGCAAGCACTGTATTTGTCTTGAATCTTTCTTATGCTTCCACATGCAATAATTAAAATAACGCTGCTATTTCTATTTTTATGCCTGTATATTGCTCTGATTTTTAAAATGAAAGCTTTAATCTATAATCACGTGCCAAGGCTCTTGAGCAAAGTGTACGATCTTTATTCATAAAACCATTCCCTCAAGTAACCATTCTGTATGGGTTAGATTAAGGGAGGGTGGGAGAGGAGAGGGATAAGGGAGGAGGGAAAGGGGGAGGAAGTATGAATAAAATTGCTTTTGCCAATAATGAACTTGTAGTTACAGGAGGCAAGGAAAATGGATGAGTTTTAAGAATTTCTCAGGGCTACAACACTAGTTATTTTTACATTTTAACTTCTAATTCAAGATTATTCCTATAAAGGAATAAAGCTATACACTCTTAGAATAGTAGTGGGCTTCTATAGCACCAAGCACTCTACACTGAGTACAGGAACCAATCTTAGTGAAAATGAAGATATCAAAACATCATTTGGCCCCCTATCTTCAGACAAAATTTTCCTACATTCCCCAGGCCAAAGGGAATGGATTCTAATTTGAGAGGAGTGTCAGGAAACTCTTAGAGGAACAAGATTATACATCTTCTTTGCCAAATCATTTTAGTCTTTCCTGCCAAAACAGACAGGAAGTTATTTCTATAACTCACCCCCAGTAACTCCTATTGTAGTTCAGGTTGACATCCTTTGAAACCTATTAATATATTCCATGGAGAGAGAGAGAGAGAAAGAACAGCTAGTTACTATCTTCTGGACAGTCCTCATTCAGGCACTGGAAAATCCTGACTAATTAGCTCCATCAACCTTCTCACAGATTTAATCATTTCACGTCTTGTAACCTTTGTTAATAAGTCTTATTTTTCAAGGCTTTGTTCATTTTTTAATCATTAGTTACACCGTTGCCTAAAGAACAGTGCATAAACCCGTTGAAAAAGTGAAAAACTCAAATAATTCATTCCAACAAATGAAATGCTAATGCTGTTGCTATGTAGCAACGCTAGGTTCATTAGATGCCTTTGCCCAGCTTACCATCTGCAGATCGCTTTCTTTTATCCCACCAGCCTCGGAGCATTTTAAAGGGTGGAATGTGTCATACCCCATTTATTTTGATGGAAAACCAAATCACATCTCTGTTATCTATAAGACAAAACAAAGCTTCCCCACTCTTGGGCTAATAGTTCTTACTAGAATTATGTTCTTTATGATTATTTTTTAATTCTCCTAAGAGACACATTTTCTATTCGAGTAATTATTTAATTAATAACTATCAAGCAATTTGATGAAACAAAACATAAATATTGTTTAGCACAAATTTTAATCACAACTGTTATCTTGAGCCAAATGGGCTGAGTTTTTATATCAGTGAAGTAATTTCTTTCACAACTCTGGGAAAACTTATGAAATAAAATGAGTGAGTAGATTTCTCCTTTCAGAGTCTTATTATCTTTGTTTATCACCTTATGACCTGAGCCTCTCAACCCATTCCAGCCATACATAGCTTTCCTGCTGCTTGTGGATGTCGGGATCCTTCCAGCTGTGCAATGCACCTGCACCTCATCACCATCCCCATAAGTGACATAGTCCTCTTAGGAACAGTGACTCAGCTATTTGCCAAAATCTGCCCCTCATGTAATCTCTCCCCCTAAGACCTTTCTCTGCTAGATGTTGAGTAGCTCACTCAATAAATTTACTTGTTCTAGAGACTTATATATTCTTTTTTAAAGATTGATTTATTTTATTTGAAA